TTCGATCGCTGTCTGGTAGAGGGCTAGCCTCTCCTGCAAGGTGGCCTCCACCCCTGGGCTGGGGGCTGTGGCCTTCGGCTGCAGGAGAGGCCGGGGCATGGTCTGGGTGGTGACCCCACCTGAGTTCTCCCCAAGAGCTCCCTTGTCAAGTGCCTCCCACACACCAGGTATGTTGCCCCTGGGCCAGCTCTCCCCACCCCACCCCCCGGCCAGGAAGAAACATCATCCCCGTTCCAGTGCAGGGAACTGGGTCTCAGAGGTGCCATGTCACCCGCCCAAGGTAACATGGCTGAGGGGCCAGGGAAGGCCTCCAACTCTGGGCTATGGGGAGCAGGTTGCTGGGCGATACCTGAGCCACAGGAGGGCGGGACTCCACAGTCTTCTGTGCCTCCCCAAGGACCTCATTTAGCTCTGCCTGCAGGGGCACACGGCCGGGGGCCGAGCATGAGGGCCCGCCGGATGGTGCAATGACAGCGCGGGAGGCCCCCTGCCTTGCCCCGGGTGCTCACCAGCAGGTCATCATCAGCCTCCACATCCTCCTCGTCCGTACCCTCATCCTCACCCTCATCCGGGTCTCTCATGCACAGGCTGGCCATCTTGTCAATAGCCTCCATGGGCAGGGGGCCTGGCGGCAGGGAGAGGCCCCAGCTGGACTGGGATCCTTCAAGAGTCCCCAGCCTCCCATCCCGGTTACCCATGACCCCAAGGACTAGGGCAGCATGTCCCCCTCCCGGCCCGTCCATGGCACCCCATGGCCCTCGGGCCCACCAGGTATGATCCCGATCCCTGCAGATCTCACCCGCCTCGTCTCTCCCTTTTCAAGCCCGACTTGGCACCCTGGCTCCACAGCTTTCTCACTTTGGAGCCCTGGGCAAGTCACTTGCCCTCTCTGGGACTCAGTCTTCCCATCTATCGGACGAGGACAACAGTTTCTCTCTCACAGGTGGGTTGTGGGAACTAAAGATAAATGAAGCTCCAGAACAGCAGGTGGTCAGCATTTTGTTATTTGAGTTATCCTCATTATCTGTGTTAGTTCTGTTCTATAAAACTGCCTTAAACGCTGACTTAGGGAACACTGGACCATGGCCCCTAGAGCAAATACAAGGTTTGGGTCCCATGAGCCTCTGGGTACAACATTTTTGTCAACCAGTCAATACATAACCTTGCTTAATGTGTGTTCCTATCTAATGACACCTTTTTAAATATGTATTGTTGATTTGTGAACACCGAACTCAAGGCCAGCAGCAGCACTGTAACTCACGTCTGAACGAAGCTCATCTGTTACGTCTTTTCTCCATAAGACACATCACAGCCTTCTTGCTCTTAGAGACACGAGACAGCACTAAGCCCTACACTTGGGGGCCGTTTTGAAGAGTAAAGTCACCAACAAAAAGCACCAAAATGAGAAAAAAATGCAGCCTTACACAGACTGTGGAAAGGACACTTGTTTACAGCATGCCCCGGGACAAGAGCGACTCCAACTTCCAGCAACTCTGTGCATGCCTGCCAATAATTGCAAAAGCTCCCCAAGTATTGATTTTGGTGTTACAAATAAAGTTTAGCCCGTAGGGGAATTCACAAATATGGAATTCATCAATAACGAGGGTTGACTGAATCAGCGGAAAAGTATAAAGGTTCCGTTTGCCCTCGGAGCTCCAGCCCCATTGCCCACTACAGAGTTGCTGCCTCCTGCCACCTCCCATAGGGGGCTTTTGCAGGTGCTGGAGCCTCTTCCAAAAGTGCTTGCCAGCTCTTCACCTGGCCCTCCTTACTGTGCGTGCCTCTTGCGGGCATCTGGCCCCAGCTCACAGGTCTCTCCCATCGTTCTGTGTTTCCCTCATCCCAGCCCTCATCACGGGGACTGCAAGCTGGAGGAAACACTAGACCCTGTGTGAAGTGCTTTATGAACCCTAGAACTCTTGTGATTAAGTGCAGTCATTATTCCCATTTACAGATGGGGAAACTGAGGCCACAGCGATGCTGGGACTCATCAAGTCACACAGCCAGTAAGTGGCAGAGCTGGGATTCGAACCCTCACCCTGGGTCCAGAGTTGATCACTTAACCCCTTACCCAGGCTGTGGGTTCCAGGAGGGCAAAGACCTTCTCTGTCTCCTCTCCTCCTTCTCCCCAGGGTCCAGCGCTGAGCCCTGACCACAGCAGGAGCTCAGAAAATGTTCAGGGGTGTGTTGAGAGTCTCACCTTTGCCTCTGAGCTTCTCCAGGACTTGGGGCTGGCCCCCAACCAAGGCCAAGAACTCGGCCTCCAGTTCCTCATCGTTAACTCCATCTTCAGGGATCATCAGGCCGTCTGGGGAGAGGTCAACCAGCAGGCCCAGCTGAGGGAAGAGCAAGGGTCCAGTCAGACCTCGGAATGCACCTCACCTGGCCAGAGGCAGCCAGGATGGACCCAGACAGAGTTCACTCAGGAGGAAGGAAATCCAGACCTCCTGGGGAAAGTCATTTTCCCTGGGGAGTGCCAGGAGGCTGGAACGGGCTCAGAATGCAACAGGTGTCCCAAGATGGGCCAGGCCCTCTGGCACAGATCAACATGGGGCGAAGGGCAGGCAGAGACCCTGCTCCCTGCTCTGAGCCCACGCCCATGATGTGGTGCTGACCAAGTTCAGTAGGAAAAGCCAGCCCTACACCCTGCGCAAAGCAAAGTCACTCTGCACACCTGGGCTTTTCCTTCCAGCATACTCAGCAGAGGGGGCCAGGCAGGAGGGTTGCAAGAGCAAACAGAAGCCCAGAAAACAACACAGAAGTTGAAAGCGGGGTTTTCATTGTGTAACAGACCTGTCTTCCTATCCCCTCCTGGTTCATGACCAATCATGATGTGATAATATTATGTTGAACTATACAAAATTGCCTTTTCTGTGGGTCAAAATGGGCAATTATGTATGGCTCCTTTTAATAGTAATAATGAAGTTACACTTATTGAGGGCTATGTTCTAGCACTTTCCATAAACTATCTCAATGAATTTTCACAACTGTCCTGCAACATAGGAACTGTTAGGGCCTCCATTTTACAGATGAGGAATCTGAGGTGTAAGAGCTGAGAAGCCGAGTGTCCAATGTGCAGAGACCAGCAGGGAACTCCAGGCTGGCCAGACTCTAATACCCCCGCACTAAGCTATGGCCTGGGCTTCTTCCATCATAACTGAGAAAATCAACTCTCCAGGTGCCTGGGGCAGAGGAGATGGAGAAGGAAAGGAGGTCCAGACACAGTCCCGTGGGCTCATGGCAGCAGCTCTGGATTTGCACTTCACTCTGGCCAAGCCGTTAATCCCTATGACCTTGGGAAGCTGTCTTCACCTCTCTGGGCCTCAGTGTCCTCATCTGTACAGTGGGGATAAAAAGAGTCTGACTTGGCCTGGCAGACGCGAGGTTCCGTGCGTGTTCAGGCCAGGAGTGCAGTAACTATCCTTAGCCCAGGTCCGAGGCCTTCCCCTCCCAAACTGGTGAGGCTGCGGCAACAGGTGGCCCTGAGCCCAGGGCGGGGCGCCAAGAGCTGAGGAGCTGGGGAGCAGGGGCCAGCAGGCCGCACTTTGGGAGCAGAACCTCATCTGGAGGGCGGGGACCGGGGCTGACCGGGGGGTGGTGATCGGGTTCCCCTGGGGGGTGGGGACCTCCCCCGAACCTGTGATACGGGTGAGTAGGGTTCCGTAGGCAAGGCCGTGGGGTACAGACTCACCTGGCGGGCGGCGGCGGCACCTCGGCCTGGGGGTCCCGGGGGTCCCTTCCTCTTGTGCATCTTTCAGGCTGGACGCCCGGGCCACTGGCCACCTCGCCTGGCCTTGCCTGCCTCCTCCCCCGGGGCCTATCGCCGCGCACGCGCACTTCCTGAGCCCCGTGCCCCTCGCTGGTGCCCCGCGACCGCTGACCCCGCGCCCTCGAGCCCCGGGGTGGCCGCCTCACTTCCGCCTCGGCCCTGGGGCGCCGCGGCACCGGAGCGCAGCCACTGGACTTGCTGGGCCCGCCGCACTGAAACTACAACTCCCGGCAGGCAATACGCGGGCACGCGTGCGTACTGCGGGGCGGTGGGCGGGGCCGCGGGCTGCGCGGGGAAAGAGGCGGGGCGTGCGTGGGTGTGAGGGGGCGGTGCTAGCGTTGCGCATGCGCGCGACGGTGCGGCGGGTTGCGCGGGAAAGAGGCGGAGCGCGCGCGCAGGTGTGAGGGGCGGTGGCGGCCGCCGGACTTGTGGCGTCCCGTGGCCACCTGCAGGCTCTAGCTTCTCCTGGCGGCCCCGGTCTGGGCATTCCACACATTTAGGAGGCCGGGGTGGAGTTAGTGTGGGTCTGGTCACCGGAAGTGGGGTCCTCAGCGCTCGGTCTTCGGGCCTTCCCGCCTTTAAGCTACAGACTCCCAGCCGCCGGGCCTCCGTGAGGGCCAACTTTGCCTTTTATTTTACAAAAAAATCCTCACGCAAATAATTTAACCGAATTGTTCCCCCAACAGATCCAGGCAGACCTACTCAGTTCCTGATAAGGACAGAGGGACCTTGACAACTTCAGCGGCCCAGGTCGGTTTGGGCTTGTTTGGCCCCCAGGGCTGGCAGGAACTGGTCTGTGGCGACTCCTGCTTCCGGGGCCCCAGGCGTCCCCCACAGGGTTTCCTGACCCTTCGAAGGGCCCCAGGTGGCCCCTTCCAGAATCCTCAGGTGTCCCTGGAAGGGTCTCAGACCACAGCCAGTGGGGAGGGGGCTTCACATAGCCTGTCTCAATTTAGGGACTAGAGCTGGGGTCGTCAGGGCTTCCCCGGTTGGGCAGATGGGTCGTTCCCTCTGCTCTCTGCAGCGTGGAGGAGGTTTTCGTACCGGTCATGGCCCAAGGTGGCTGTGACTCCGCCCAGCTTGGCCCCCGGGGGCAGCCAGATGAACTGAGGTGGGGTGCGAGTGGCTTCTGCCCTCAGCCAGGGTCACTGGGTCTGTACCCAGGGACGGGGACTACTTGTAATGATGGGATTTTGCTCGTTGTTTTCAGATTTTTCAAGAGAGGGATAAAATGAGTAAGAGGAAAAAGCTTCGGACTTCAGGTATTTGGACATTCGAGTTGACACTGCTTTATTGCTGCTTCTGGTATAGGAGGAATGTAGGCTTATTTGTTGCAGAAATGCTAACATGATCACAGCAAGCTCCTTGAAAAAAAAAAGGTGATTTAATACATGCTAGTAAGAAAAGTGTAAGTTGTGGAAAGTGCATACAGTAAAAAGTGAAAGCTTTCTGGGTGCATACAGTAAAAAGTGAAAGCTTTCTGGAGCTTCCTCCAATCTCTGGTGGGATCCCATGGGCTTAGGCCAGGGGTGCACTCTCAGAGATGACCTTTGAATAGAGCTACAAGGTCTTTGATGCGCTACAAGGTCATTGGGTGTGTGGCTAAGTGTTTCACTCTGGAACCAAAACCCTGGATTCATCCCAGCTCTCAGGCTCCCTGTGTGATGGCACATGACTTACTCTGTACCTCAGAGTACTATAAATAGACGATAATAAAGGCACCTACCCTTTCCATTCAAACAATGATTCTCAACCTGGTTGGGGGGAGGATTTTTGCCCCTCAGGACACTGGACATGTCTAGAGACATTTTTGGTTTCCACAACTGATGTGTGTGATGGGGGCTGGTTACTGGCATTTAGTGGGTTGAGGCCAGAGATGTGCTAAATCCTGCAGTGCACAAGACAGTGCCCACAATACAGAATGATCTGGTCCCAAATGTCAAGAGTACCAAGGTGGAGAACTCTGCCCTAGAGTTCATTCAAGGATTAATATTTGTAAAGCATGAAGGATAGACCCTAGGTAGTACACAAGTGTATGCTGGTATTATGATTCCCCTCTCAGACTTAAAAAAAAAAAAACCCCAAAAACAAAAACCTTTTCATTCTGAAATAATTTGGGGCTTACAGAAAATTTGCAAAAATAGTTCAGAGTTCTTTCTACCCTACCTCCAGCTTCCCCTAAAGTTAATGTCCAGCACAACCACGGGACAATGATCAATCACAGGACAGCATAAAAAGCCAGGGAATGAACCTCAGTACACTACTTCCAAACTTTTTCTTTGTATACACAAGTACAGTGTTTTTTACTGGAAAACAGAATCATCACACATGCTGATCAGCAGTCCCCATTTTTTCTTTATTCTGAGCATCTTTATTTGTCAGTATATATACGTATAATTTTTTCATGCACAAAGAAAAACACACAATATTACATAGCTCCATTTCACTGTCATTGTCAAAGATAATTTAAACTTCTTAAAAGTTTAGAAATGACTTCTTACTGGATAATGAGCATAGGGAGTAGCACTCATTTTTTTTTTTTTCCCCCCACAATGTGGGATAGAAAAATTAGCAATGGATTGAAAATGTTTTGTGTAAGATGAGCAACAGGCTGCTTGGAAACAGGAATTTCACTGACCTTGGTGGGGGAAGCTGGGGACAGCCAGGCCCACCCACAGCAGGTCATTTGGGGCCTCTCTTGGCAGTGGGCTCCCTAGCTCAGTGGATCCCAGGCTGGCCCACAACAGCTGTTTCTGTATGTCCTAGAGGGGGTGAGGATAGAGGAAGACGATTCTGGCAGGTGGTGAAAGAGGCCCTTCCCTCCCAACGTCTTTGGCCTTTGGTGTTGAACATAAGGTTCTGCCTTTAGTTTTTCTTAAATTAGTCCTGTGGGGACAGATCACAGGAAGGAAATGGGAGGCTTTTCACTTCTGTTGATATTTTGGTTTTTATTTGGTGCACATGTCCATTGGATGAGCAAAGCGAGCTAGTGTTTGGGCATCTTAAGAAACCAAATAAACAAAGCTGCTTGATTTCACTTTTTTTTTTTTTTGGCAGATCACAAGATGGGAATATGCTTGTGTAAGAAGCATTCATTGGAGCCTTGCTCTGAGTGCAGCACTGGGGTGAACACCTAAGCAGGGTGAGGTGAAAGGCAGGGCAAGGAGGAGATCAAAGGGTGCAACAGACTCAATTCCTGCCCTCATAACCCTCAGGGTCTAGTCAGGAGAAAAAGAAAAATGCTTCTCGCTGAGAGTGCTAATCAGATACATAGCAGTACGGTAAAGTTCTAAATGGGCACACCATAACTTACAGAATTCAGAAATTACAGAAATGTCATGTTGGTCTACTGGAGCACAAACAGCCAAATGAATGCTAATAAGAACCCTGGTGATCAGTATTAGGGAGAGGGAGCTTATTCAATGGGTTTACTTCAAGGTATGTAAGGAGCTGAGGTTGGAAAGGGTCTACCTGACTGGCCTCCAGAAAGATCAGGCCAGAGTCTGGTTTGCCTTTTTGTTCTCACTGTGGGGTCAGAGGCACAGTACATAGTAGGTGCTCAGTAAATGCTCAAGTACACTTAGGTATGCAGGCTCTGGAGTTGGACTGACTGGATCCCATTCCAGATTCCTTGGCCTCCATATGCCTCAGCTTTCTTATCCATAAGATGGGTGTAACAGTGGGAGCCCTACCTTGAAGTTTATCATAACACACCCAACTTCTCAGGACAACGTCTGTCATGGAACTCACTAGATTCAACCCTTGTCATTTGTTTTTTGATAATTAGGTTGGGGCCAGATTTGGGGAGACCTTAGAAGTCAGCCGCTATTGGCAGTTTCTGTGTAAGCAAGTTTCCTCCACTTAGCAAATAGGTGTTAGGCTCCTAATTTTTTTTTTTCAGTGATGGGGAACATAACAGCAGAGATGCAAGGGACCAGGGGGCAGCTGGGACATCACTTCCCTAGCACTCAATCCTGGGTCCCAGTTTTCCCAGGACAGATGATCTGCAGGCATCAGAGAAAACTAGAGTTGCACATAATTTAGTCCCATCTGTGTTTCCTGGTGGTGATCTCTGTTTTATAAATGTGTTTATTCAGTCATCTACCAAGTATTTGTTGAGCACCAACAATGTACTAGACGATCTCCTAGGCACTTGAAACTCATCAGAGAGTGAGATAGGCCCCTCCTTGTATTGAGGGAGACAAAAAATAACCAGTACATCAGATACTGGCAAAAAAACAAAAACAACAAAAAACTGAAGTTGGGGCGCCTGGGTGGCTCCGTCAGTTAAGCTTCCGACTCTTGACTTCAGCTCAGGTCATGATCTCAGGGTTGAGATCGAGCCCCATGTCAGACTCTGCACTGGGTGTGGAGCCTGCTTAAAGTTCTCTCTTCCTTCCCTCCCCTCTCTCTCTCAAACAAAAACAAAACAAAAAAAAACACAAAACTGTGAAGTGATTAAAACAGAGCATGGGTCTGAAAGAGGGTGTTCTATAGAGAAGTCAGGGTTGGCCCTTTGCAGCAACATTTGAGCTGAGACTCATGGAAGCCAGTACACACCTCTCACCACCTTCCTACAGAGACAGTTGGCTGGGCCAGGTTATTTCATGTAGTTTGGTGCCAGGCTACCTCAGGATTCTGTCTCAGTCATAACCAGTCCTTGGGTAAAAAGCCTTTGAATCCCATGGCCACCTAAACTCTTGGACGAGGTGCCATCTCATCTCTCTCTCCAGGCTAGAGTCAGAGAAGGGGGTTTCTTACCCTTGGAATTAGCTTGCTCATGTTGCAGCAGTGTTCCTGCCAGGTTTGATTGTCAGCTATGGTAGTGCATGCTCCCTGCATCTCCCATCCCTTCATCTTCCTTTCTCTCTAAATCAGGAGGAGAAGGAGTCTGTCCTCTGAAGGCCCCAAAGAACCCAAGGCTAGGAGACTCTGACGCCACCCCCCAGAATTCTGAGTGGGGCTCTTTGTGTCTCCCTGAAGAGTCAGAAGGCAGATTAGAACCCATTTCCTCTGCAGAGCAGAGGACAGAAGAACCAGTACAGACAGCCTCCAGGTAGGTGGCTTGGAACATTCCAGCAAGCCTCCCCACTGACAGTGGACACAGCCCGGTAGACAGGATGCAAAGGGGAGGGGACCAACATGACTCATCCAATTCCACACCTCCCTCTGGGGGCTCAGGGGCCCTCCGGTTGCTTCTCAAAGCCTTCTTCCCCAGACTCTTTTCTCGAGCAAGAAAGGTTGATATTTTAACCACGAGCAAGGAAAACCTTGAATTTGTCAAGGTTGCTTAATAATAGAATGCATCCGTCCTGTCTGCTGGTCAAATCCATGTTTATTCCTCATTCCTTCTTGACCAAGAAAGGACTGATGGAGTTGTAGGTCTGCGAAATAATAACCATGAAAGGGGATAGCAGTTATGTGTCAGACAGTGGGCTAATGATAAACACTTTACACCTATCAGTTTGTTTAATCCTCATAGCACTGTGAGATAGGTTTTTATCCCCATTTCACAGGTGAGGACTCTGAGACTTTGAGAGATCAAATGACTTATTTGCCCAAGGCCACTGAGCTGGTGCAGCACAAGCTGGGGATCTGGCTGTGTCTGGCTCCCGTGCTCCTAACCACCATGGTTTCCCAGCTCCCTTATTTTTTTTTTCTTCAGGAATATGTAATTAAGCACAGTGGGGAAAAAAGGAAGATCTGGAGAATAGTTTGTTCATGGGGTTAAACCGCATGTTAACTAGAGCAAAGTAGAAAGGGTTAGCAGGAGTTAGGACAAGGAGGGTTCCTGCTACCAGAAGTCCTCAGAGAAAGCCTCATGGATTGGTCTACCAGATTTTCTGAGTAAACAATTGCAGCACACGGTCTGACCAAGAAAACTGTTTTTGGAGGTGGAAGATGTGTGATCTCAGGTCATTGCAGTCTTAAGACAAAAGGTAGCACTGCTGTGTGTGTGATATGAAGAGGGGCCACATGTCACACCTAAGCCATTCTCCCAGGCGCCACAATATCACTGTGCTCCCCCCTCCTGGTGAGGCCAACAGGGCTCGTGGGGTCCCAGGCACTGCACATCTTGCTGGGTTCCCACCCTCTTTTTTCTAGTTTTGTTTTTAAAATGTTTTATTAAGAAATACCACGTGCTGGGTGCCTGAGTGGCTCAGTCGGTTAAGCGTCTGGCTCTTGGTTTTGGCTCAGGTTGTGATCCCAGGGTCCTGGGATTGAGCCCCACATTGGGCTCTGCACTCAGTGCAAAGTCTGCTTGAAGATTCTCTCTCTCTCCCTCTGCCCCTTCCCCACACATGTGCTCCCTCTCTCTCTCAGATAAATAAATACATCTTAAAAAAAAAAATACCATGTGCATAGACGTATAACAGAGAAAAAAACAATATAAAGCAAACAAACTTAACACATTTATGTTGAGAAATGAAATCCTAACTGGTACCCTACAGGCCACCCAAACAACCCATTCTGAATAAAAATTTTCAAACAGGGGTACCTGGGTGGCTCAGTCGTTAAGCATCTGCCTTCAGCTCGGGTCATGATCTCCTGGTCCTGGGACTAAGCCCCTCATCAGGCTCTCAGCTCAGCAGGGGGGTCTGCTTCTCCCTCTCTCTCTGTCTCTCTCCCTCTGCCTCTCCCCCTGCTTGTGCTCACGCTCGCTCGCTCTCAAATGAATAAATAAAAAATCTTAAAATTTTTCTGACAGACTCTTGCTATCAGTATCTAGATTTATTCTATCCCCATCAGCTCCCCAATACAATTTAAACCTATTACTATATCTTCATGCTTTTTCCTGTTCCCCTTCTAAAGTTGAAATCTTAGTTTTAGTTCCAGGTTTTGATCTTTTTTCTTAACAATATACACATCCACATTTATTTAGATAAAACCGTAAGTCTCACATGCTTTTTAAAAAGACTTCATTTTTTTAGAGCAGTTTTAGGTTTACAATAATTTTTTTAAGATTTTATTTATTTATTTGAGAGAGAGAGAGAGAGACCGTGTGAATTGAGCAAGCAAGCACGAACAGCGGGAAGGGCAGAGGGAGAGGGAAAAGCAGACTCCCCACTGAGCAGGGAGCACAATGCGGGCCTTGATCTCAGGACCCCAGGATCATGACCTGAGCCAAAGGCAGACAGTTAACAGACTAAGCTACCCAGGTGCCTGGTTTACGATAATATTGGAGGGAAAGTATGGAGATTTCTCATAGCCACCCTCCCTGCCCCCACCACCGCACACACACACCCCCATCACCATCCCACCAGAGCGGTACATTTGTTACCAAGGATGAACTTGCACTGACATATGATAATCACCCACAATCCACAGTTTACTTCAGAGTTCACTCTGTGTTGTACGTTCGGTGGGTTTGGGCAAATGCAGGATGACATGTATCCACCATTATAATGTCATACAGAGTATTTTTGCTGCCTCAAATCCTGTGTTCCATCTGTTCATCCCTCCCCTCCCCAACCCTGGCACCACTGATCTTTTTATTATCTTCATAGTTTTGCCTTTTCCAGAATGTCAAAGAGTGGCAATCATACAGTACCTACTTAGCCTTTTCAGACTGGCTTCTTTCACTTAGGAATATACATTTAAGTTTCCTCTCAGTCTTCTCATGGCTTGATAGCTCATTTCTTTTAGCGCTGAATAATACTCCATTGTCTGGATGCACACAGTTTATCCATTTACCCACTGAAGGCTGCCTTAGTTGCTTCTGCATTTTGGCAATTATGAATACACCTGCCTTTTTTGACACTGTTTTTTTGTTTTTGTTTTTTTAACCTACAACTTAATTTCTCTAGAATTTACAGAGTTGGGGGTTGGAGTGTCATTCCAAATGAGAATTCCTATTCTTACCTTAGGAGCCAATTCCCAGGATTATAAGAGTAAACTGCTGCCAGAGCAGGCAGCTTGGATTCTAGATGTGGGCCTCTGCACCCTTCTTGGCAGCCAAGTGTCACCCTAGGTGCTGCTCCCCTTTTCCATCCCACCCTCTCTAAGCAGGTGCTTCAGGGTCTCCCTTACAGGAGACTGAGCACTACTTTGCCTTTGGATTCATCTGTTTGCCTCACCGCACACACTGACAGCATCCTAGGACTTCAGAACCTCCTCTATTTTGTCTTTCTCCACCCAGCTCCCATGATGAGGAAGCAGGAGCTCCCTCGAGGCTCCTCCGGCAACCGAAAGAGGAGCCAGTTCCCACTCTTCTTTCCCAGGTGAGCCTGTTTTAGGGCCTCATGTATGACCAATGACACTGCTTCCCTTAAGCTGGAGTTCTTGTCTCCATTCCTCACCATCAGGCTGACAGGCTGGTGAGACTGCGCTGGGGACGGAGGGCAAGGGCTGCATTTGAGGCTGCAAGAAAGGAACTGGTTTGGCGTTTGTTTTCTGAAACCTCATCCCTCCCCTTATCTTTATTGCTGTTTTGTTCTTGTTGTGTCTGGTTTACAGAACTCAGCCAGGAGGTTTGTCCCCCAGTTTGCAAAACCCAGGAAGACAGTGACGAGACAAGCAGAGCTGAGGGAAGAGGACCTTGGGGGTGGAGCCCCTAAAATCAGTCAGGTGAGCCCAGTAGACACAGCTTCTTCTTGGCCCAGCCTTGGCAGCTGAGTTCAACCTTGGTTTTCTCTGACACTGGCTAGACCTGTACTTGTCTGCATGCGCCTTTTCAGCACACCATGCTACAGATGTCTGTGGAGTGTGTGCCAGGCCTGTGCGAGGCGCTAAGGACAGCTGTGCCTGCAGCAAAGCAGTCAAGGCCACAGCCCTCTTCCCCAAGTTGCATGAGAATAGTAAAAACGCAGAAAGACAGCCCCTATTCTATCCGTGAACCCTTTTACTTCTTGGAAGCTTTTGTGTGGTTTGGGGCGGGTGGGGGCATGGGTCTTATAATATACTCTCTCATCCTTTCCACTGTGAGCCCCGGGTGTGATGATGTCTCTGGCAACAGAGGCCCCTACAAAAGTGAGTGGTGGGCATTCCCAGCAGCCATGTTTGTAATCATCCCAAACTGGGAACACCCCAGATATCCTTCAGTGGGTGAATGGCTGAACACAACATGGAACACAACCCAGCAATAAAAGAGAGACAAGGGGCACCTGGGTGGCTCAGTTAAGCGTCTGCCTTCGGCTCAGGTCATGATCCCAGGATCCTGGGATCGAGCCCCGCATGGGGCTCCCTGCTTAGCGGGAAGCCTGCTTCTCCCTCTCCCCCTCCCCCTGCTTGTGTTCCTTCTCTCGCTGTGTCTCTCTCTCTCAAAAAAAAAAATATAAATAAAAGAGAGACAAAGTAGTGAAACACGCAACAATCTGGATGGACTTCCAGGGCGTTATGTGGAGTGGGAAAAGCCAGTTCCAAAAGGTGATACACTGTAGAGTTCCGTTTGCATGACATTACTGAAATGAGAAAATTACAGAGATGGTGGGTAGGTCAGTGGTTGCATGGTGTTGGGGCAGGGCGGGCAGGGTGGGAGGGAGGCGGGTGTGGCTACGCATGGCAGCACGAGGGATCTCGTGTTGGAGATTTTCCATATCTTGTCTGTGTGGTGGATGCACAGCCTCCACCACGAGAGGACTGTATAGAACTTCATCCACACACGCAAACAAGTATAGGTCAAGCTGGAAAGTCAAATAAGGTCGGTGGACTTTATCAATGTCAGTATCTGGGTTGTGATACTGTGTTCGAGTTATGCAAGATGTTACCACTGAGGGAGACTGGGTAAAGGGCATGAGGAGTCTTTCCCCATCATTTCTCATAACTGGATATAAAACTACAATGATCTCACAAAAAGCTTAATTTAAAAACAAGGGGCGTCGGGGCACCTGACCGGCTCAGTCGATGGAGGATGTGACTCTTGATCTCGGGGTTGTGAGTTCATGCTCCATGTTGGGTGTAGAGCTTACTTAAAATTAAACTAAGTAATAAGAGGGGTTTTAGCTTCACTGTTGACTGAAAATGTGCAGGAAACGCTATGTGTAACTCAGTGGCTGGTTGCCAATGGCTTCATTGAAGTCAAATTGACAGGCTCTGGCCTTCAGTGGTCTGATATTGGCAGTGCAGACCCTCGTAGGAAGGTTGGTCTGATTGGTGTAGAGAGGTAACTGTGGCAGAGGTATCTCCCTCAGCGCTGATCACTGTATGAAAGAAGTGTGGGAAGGGGGACAGTTGCAGTCTATAGAGTGCCCTTGGTTACAAACCTCAGTCCCTACCTATCAAATGTAATTATTTGCAGTCCAGTATGAAGGGAGAGTTGATGGCATGGATGTGAGGGGAAGGGAGGTGATGGGTTGACTCCAGGGTTCGGGGTCTGAATAGCTTGGAGGATGGAGTTGCTGTAGTTGAGAAAGGGAGCCTCTGAGGGCACACTCAGGAGCTGGTGTTGGTCGTGTATCGTTGCAGGTGACCAGGAGATACCAGGTGGAAATGTCAGCTACCAATATCCAGAGTTGGGGGAGATCCAGGGGCTGCAGTGTTTCTTTAGGTTTAGGCCTGAGCGCCTGGTTTGAGCTGCCATCCTCCTAAAGGACAGTTAGCTATCTATGTCCCAGCCAGAACCCTCCTTTCCCACCCTGCTCTGGTCATCTCTCTCTCTGTTACAGATAATTCAGTTCTCCCTCTTGCTCTTTTAGGTTTTTATCTTGAAATAATTATAGACTCCTAGAAAGTTACAAAAAAAGCGCGGACCCAAGTGTCCCTCAATAGATGAATAGATAAACAAAATGTGGCATATCCATCCAATGAAATATTCAGCCTTAAAAAGCAAAGACATTCTTTTTTTTTTTTTTAAAGAATTTATTTGGGGGCGCCTGGGTGGCTCAGTTGGTTAAGCAACTGCCTTCGGCTCAGGTCATGATCCTGGAGTCCCAGGATCGAGTCCCGCATTGGGTTCCCTGCTCAGCGGGGAGTCTGCTTCTCCCTCTGACCCTCTTCCCTCTCGTGCTCTCTATCTCTCATTCTCTCTCTCTCAAATAAATAAAATCTTTAAAAAAAATTATTTATTTGGCAGAGAGACAGCGAGAGAGGGAACAGAAGCAGGGGGTGTGGGAGAGGGAGAAGCAGGCTTCCTGCTTAACAGGAAGCCCTATGCAGGGCTCTATCCTAGGACCCTGAGATCATGACCCGAGCCGAAGGCAGACGCTTAACAACTGAGCCACCCAGGCGCCCCAAAAAATCTTTAGAATGGTTGATTATTGAAGGCTCAAAGCTGAGTGTTTTTCTTTCCACAGGAAACACCACCAGAGCCCAGTACCCAGCAGGCCAGAAGCCAGCTGTGGGAGGAGTCCCTAGGGCTTGCTCCCTGGGAGGCCAGGGAGCTGGGTGCCCAGACCCAGGTAGACAGCACCCACCCTGAATGCAGAGACCAAAACCCCATGACACATGTGCCTGGCAATGGGAATCCTCAGCCCTCAGCCTCCATTGATGCCTCTCCAGAATGGGGGACAGTGCCCTTGGCCTCTGAGAGGGCCAGCCAGGACCACCTTTCAGAGCAAGGAACCAACACACCAGATGGTGAAAGCAGGGAAGGGTGTTGGGTTCTAGGCTATCATGGCCAGAAAGGGCTCCTGCTGAGCAGTGATGCTGAAGAGGAGTCAGACCAAGGTGCACTTCAGGAAACAGGTGCCAAAGGGGGAGCAGGGGCTGACCTGCCTGAGAGGCATCAGGAGGAAGGAGACGGCGTCCTCAGTCCCATCACTCAGGATCCAGAGCCCAGATCTGCAGCCCAGGGCCTCTCTGACCCCATGCAGATACCCAGCAAGACTAGCAGGGAAGCAGAACAGAGTTGTAGCAGCCCAAGACACTTCTCCCTTGGGACCATTGTCATCACAGATGTGAGCACAGACCCCACTGAGCCAGAACAGAGGGCTCCAGAGGTGGCCAGACCAGATGAACAGGACAGCACCAGAGCATCTACCTGTCCCAGTGGGAAGGCCCCTGATGGAGGCAGCAGTGGAAGCCTGCTCAGCTATGTACCTCTCACTGGGGAGACAGGACATAGAGGGGAGGCAGGGTGGGAAGACAAGCGTCCTGGAAACACCCCGGGGGGCCCTGCAGCCTCCCTGGCTCTGGATCACGGGGTAAGAGAGCCCATAATAGGTGCTGGAGATTCCAGTCTTCTAGCCTTGGAAATGGGCCCAGGTGTTGATCAGACAGAGGGGCTTGGAGGTGTGTGTGCACTGCCTTTGCTGTTGCAGGCCATAAGTAAAAAAGCCACTGAGTTAGGTCGCCAGAGCCCTGAACAAGACCTTGAGGGGTTCAGTCTGTCTCTTGGAGCCCTTGCTCCACCAGTGTGCAGAGAAGCTGTGGGTGGCCCTTCCCAGGAGACCAGGACCTGCCAGGACAGCATAGATGCCCCTGCGGACCCCACAGGCTGGTCTGAGCCCCCTCCTGGCTCTGCAGACCAGGCTGTGCTGGGGGAGTCCCCGGCCATGGAACCTGACTTCCTGCCAAACAGCCAGATACGGGATGCCCTGGAAGCCCCTGACTTTGAAGCCTCACCTGCGCAGGTAAGAGCTTCCCCACGTTATGGCAGACCATCTCAGGATAGGTGTCAAGTGCCATGAGCCTCTCCCAAGCTACCCGGTAGGGAGTGTGTGGAATTTGGGGTGCTGCATGGCCATCTGTTTATATAGCACACGGGTGTAGAGGAATGAGTTGCAGCTTTGGTGGGTATGGAATCAGTGATTTTCCAGAAAGGACAGACTTGCCTTTCTGTAAGTGGTCTGTCTGTCTGGGAGCTGAAGAGCCCCAGGCAGTGACACACATGGATTCTGTCAGCCTAGGCAGAGTTGATGGAGGTCCTCCCTTCCTCGACTGGAGCCCCCAGTTCTACCCACCCTCTCCACACTTCAGGGCCTGGCTCTAGCTGCAGGTTTCTGAGGGATATAAAGAGTATGCCTGAGACCTTGAGGGGTCACTTTGAAAAAGCCAGCCATGTCAAAGCTGTGTTTGGGGGGGGAGAGGACTTCAGTCCCCAACAGGAGAGAGCCTTTGCCCATCTTAAGGGTCATTTCAGGGTCCTGATATGATTTTTTTTTCAAACATAGACACACAATTTTGCTTTCCTGCTGGAATTTGTAGGGACTTTGCTTTCTTCAGGGATCTGCCCACCCAACAGGCAGTGGGAGAGCTACCCAACATCACCTTCCCCAGCTGCCGAGCCTATGCAGGCCATTGGCATTCACCTGTCTGGGGGCAGGTGGCAGACTTGCTTTGGCCCCGCCCCCAGGGAAGCACCACATCCTTACCACTGGCACGCCTGAGTCTGGGTTAAGTGCTTTGCAGTCACACTCTGAGAGGTAGGTGGTTCTCTTTCCACATTCTGGGTGTGGTTAAGAGGCCGAAGGAGTTCAGGCACCTGCCCTAAGTGACACAGCTGGGAGGGAAACAGGCTGGGTCTGCTCCCAGGTTGGCCTGATTCCACAGCTGTGCCTCAGGTGCCCTGACCTGGAGCACAGAGCCCGACTTGCTTCACAAACATTGGGCTCTGTTTCTTCGGCTGTCCCATTGAGATCTTTAAAACATTAATTTGGTTACATGCTTATCAAGAGCCTGCTCTGCCAGGAGTCAACAGATTAGGCGTGGTCCCTGCCCCTGTGAGGTTTGTGGTAGTACTGTTCCCACCTCTCTCCCAGAGTGAACATTTTGTACCCTATCATTTCAGCACTTAAAGAGTCTTTTCATACGACCTGGCCCTGAAACACAAGCATAGTGTTTCATCTGGTACCCAGCTGAAGAAAGCCAGCTGCTGCAGCCACAGAGGGGAATGTAGCTGGGTTGGGCAAATGTGGGTCTCCAAGGCGCCGCCTTCCCAAGGGAGGGCCAAGGGTCATTTCTGGCCCTTTACAGTGTTTATCTGCAAGGTGACTTCAGACCAGGCCCTCCCTGCCGCATGTGGGCCCCCGGCTCCTTGTGCCACCCATTTCTCGATTACCAGGTGAGCAAGATGACGGAAAGTAAATCACAGTGCAACCCAGTCCTAGAGTTTGAACACAGTCACCTGGGGTAGGTAGGTGTGCAGGTGCCGGCACAGCTAAAATCTTTTAACTAGAGCCTCAGCCCTTGGAAAGAAGAGGAGTCTAAGTTACTCCCAGTCTCTGCCTCTTGGGCAGTGGCTAAAGGAGAAGCAGTTGGCACATTTAGTGGCATCCAGCAGGCAAAGGAGCAAGCCCCTCCTGATAGGCCGCCAGTGACTTTGGGCTTTGGAAACAACAAAGAATCCGCAGTGCAGGGAACTGGCAGACAGCTGGGGTGGTCAGACCTGACAGGTCCTCCAGGGGCGGAGGTGCTGCCCTGACAAGGTTGCTGACGTCTGGACACATTTTGTTTTGATACTGGGCGTTCCCGAACATGTCAGGGCGACCTTGGCACGAGCAGGTTCCCACAGAAAGGTACTGGATGGAGCCTGACAGGAGGACCTGGTGGACAGGGACACTTGGGAACAGAGTGCAGGTGGATGGAGAGTGGCAGCAGCGGCCTCCCACCAACAGGCCCCCCTCCCCCCCAGTGGGACAGCTTATGTGAGCACTGCTTCAGAGGAGGCAGCTGGGGGCCTCAGAGGTTACACAGCAGTGACAGACCAGTTTCAAACTCAGGTCCCCTCCCAGGAAAGCATGGTATTTTCTTCTTGTAGTAGCTCCCTTAGGACCTGACACTCACCACAGGGCTGGTGGAGCCTCTGTACGCTGCATAAGGAGTGTCATTTAAAAGCTGATTCCAGGGCCTGGGTGGCTCAGTCAGTTAAGCATCTGCCTTTGGTTCAGGTGGTCCTGGACGGAGCCCTATGTTGGGCTCCATACTCAGTGGGGAGTCTGCTTCTTCCCCTCCCTCTGCTGCTCCCCGTGCTTGTGCTTTCTCACTTGCACTCTCTCAAATAAAATCTTTTTTTAATTGTTTTAATTTTTTTTAAAGATTTTTATTTGAGAGAGAGAGCATGAGCAGGGTGGAAGGGCAGAGCGAGAGGGAGAAGCAGACTCCCTGCTGAGCAGGGAGCCCGATGTGGGGCTCAATCCCAGGATCCTGGGATCATGACCTGAGCCGAAGGCAGATGCTTAACTGACTGAGCCACCCAGGCGCCCCAGTAAATAAAATCTTTAAAAAATAAAACTGATTCCAAGTCCCTCTTGGGTCGTACAGTGATGGCTTCCAGCATATTCAGTACAAGGATTGCCCTTGTGTCAAACATTTACACAGCCCTGGTGGGAGCAGTGGTTGGAGTGTTAGGAGGGGGAATATTCCTCATGGCCAAGAATGGCCCAGTGAGTTGGGTGAATTGTATTTTAAATCAGAGTCACTTACATGAAACAGTAGGCCAGGTGCCTGGGAGGTGCTGTATTGTCCACAGCAGGCTTCTGATTTGGCACTGCTGGCATTTGGGTCCAGATAGTTCTCTGGGGCGGGGCTGTCCTGTGCAGTTTTGGGTGCTGAGCAGCACCCCTGGCCCCTACCCACTGGATGCCAGTAGCACTCCCCCCACAAAGTGTGCTGACCAATGTGAAGTGCCTAGGGGTGACCATCCCCCAGTGAGAACCGTTGCGCTATAAGCAGTTCTTTGCATCTGTTCTTGGGATTCAGGGACAATTTGCAGGTGTAAGCTATAGCTCAAGCCCTTCATCCCATCCCCCGCCCCTGTCAGGGGAGAGGGGCCTGCTTTTGAAAGGACGTCTTTGGAACAGATCCCTTCTTACTCTAGGACTTTGGTCTCCTCAGAAAGGCCGTGGATTGGCCACTCTACCCCAGCCTCTTTGCCTCTTTTCAGAGGGACGTATGTCCCATCCATGATTGAGCTTGACATTTTCCATGAACATTAAACCACCGTTGACATTTTTTTTTTTAAGATTTTATTTATTAATTTGACAGAGACACGGCGAGAGCAGGAACACAAGCAGGGGGAGTGGGAGAGGGAGAAGCAGGCTTCTGCCGAGCAGGGAGCCCAATGCGGGGCTCAATCCCAGGACCCTGAGATCATGACCTGAGCTGAAGACAGATGCTCAATGACAGAGCCACCCAGGTGCCCCCACCGTTGACATTTAGAAACTTAAGCTTCTCTGGGTTATCTGGCTCTCTCCCCTATTATAAATTTTTCCCTGACCATATATTTGTAAAATCTTTCCCTGACACGAAACAGGTGGCTTACCTGGCCAGCCTCTTCCCTTCAACACCAGGTGCCCACCTTGCTCCAGTCAGCATCACTGAGGGTCTTCTCTGTACCTTTCTAGATGCTGCAGGAGGAGCAGGAGACAGTGCCACACCTCAGCTGTCACGGACAGAGCCATCGGCCAACACAGATCAGCCCTTCAGAAAGCACAGGCTCAGCAGGGGACACCGGGGTCAGGCCTCACATTGCCCTGTCTGCTCCTTCTGAATGGGGAGGGTGATTGCAGCCCGGGTTGGTGGCCCCCAGGTTTCGCTGTCAGGGCGTCCTGTCTCTTCACTGCACCACTTTTCTTCTGCGGGAATCTCTACCTCTGTGTTCCTGACATAGCCCAGGAGAATTGAGAGGTGCCCTGCATGAACCTCTTTCTTCCCGGTGCAGGGCTCAGCCAGCAAGGCCATTCACAGGTGTGTTCTCTCTTCATAGTTGTTTCCTACGGGGACCAGGCTGGGCTCTTGTTGGCCTGACACAAGCCCACATGCTGATGGAGGCCTTCTCACGGAGCTCCAGCTGAGGTAGGCAAGGGGAAGGCTAACTCTTGCCCCTGCAGCAGTCGTCCCTAAGTCCCTGCGAGGGGAGAGTGTCGCTGCTTTCCTGGCACTGGCAACCCCCCCCCCCGTACTCCCTCACCTCAGCCCTGCCTCTCCCTCCATGGGCCTCAGGAAGGGAGCTGAGCCCCGTCTTTCACACTGTGCGTGCCGCTGCTCCCCACAAATGGAGAACTGGTGATCCTTGATCTACAGCTAAACCAGAGTGTCTCCCCAGGGCCCCTGGGATAGTACCCCCCAGTTCCATAGGTTGTTTTAATGTACTACATGTGTTTTTCTAGAGAGAGGATCTAGAGCTTACCCTGAATCTCTGTGGAGGGGAAGGGGACCCAGATGGGGATAAAAACCAGTGGCCTTGGGCCCGCCCCCACTCTGGCATCCAGAGGGCCCTCCAGAGTTCCTGACTTGTTCCTGACTCGCCCCATCTCCTCACTTGGCTCAGTGCCCTGAGGCAGGCTGCTTTCTCTCCCTCCTGCAGGCCATGGAGAGAGAGAGAGAGAGTGTGTGTGTATGTGTGTGTGTGTGTGTTGGGGGGGTCCTCTCCACCCCAGAGCTTCTCACAGTCCATCACCTCCCTTTGTGTCCTTCCTCCCAGCCCTGCCAGCCCTTAGCGCTGGGTGACAGTCCTCTCCTGTTACCTTGTACTTGAACTGGTGTCTCTGCACAGGCTGCGGCTTATCGATTATTCATGGCCAAGTTTCTGTTTCTGTCTGGCAAGTGGTGTGGAGGAGGGGTGAGGGACACAGCCCTTGGCAGAGTGTATCTCCTTTCTCTTTCTCCTCCTCCCCTCCCTGCTCCAAGCCTGGGCAGCAGGCTGTCTTCAAGGGTTGTCTCCCATCCCCAGCTCACCCCAGCCCTCCTCCTTC